GGGCTGGCTCCAGGCTGTTGGTTTTTAAATATTAATTTATTTTTTTAATTTTCCTAATGTATAGCCCCTAATTAGTAAAAAACTTTGCAAAAGATCACATAGTCTTTACTTTTCACAGTCATCAAATGCACAAAATGAACATTTAATCTCCTTTATTCTAAAACATAGAGATTTGTTTTTCATTTTCATTATATTGTTTAGTATTGCAAAACTACATCAATCAACATAGTGGAAATGGGTTTTATTGTCTTGTTTTTGACTTAATAATAATACAAATATCACCTCTTTGTTATGCCTGGATTTTTCCTTAGTTTGAAGCACATACCGTTCATCATGCTAAGGAATTATGTTTCTCTAGCTAGTATCATCTAAGATTTACTATAAATAATATTTACTAGATTTAATTACTTGGCAACCATTCTTTACAACTTCTGTGTGTATGTGTGTGTGTGTTTCTATCTGAGTGTGTGTGTGTCTGACTCTGAGACCACATTGCAAGTTTATTTTTTTCAATATTTTTTGAGAGTGCTTATCAGCAAGCAATGGGTCAGTAAATAAATGTATGAAGTAGATGAAGTCTGTGACAACATTTCTCTTGATGGCAAACTGTATAAGCTGCCACATCTCTCTGGGACTCTGTTTCCTTATCTCTGCAATGATCACTTTGAACAAGAACAGTAATCACAAATACATGACATTTGTGCCTGGCATATGCCGTGGGCCTCACCCCGAGGACCCAGCTTCAGAAAGTTCTCCACACAGCAATCCAGAAGTTTTTAAGTGTTGGTCTCTATTCTGATATTTAGAATGTCATGAACACGTGCTATGCTAAAAAAAAAAAGTGTAGTTATGTATAGCAGTCAGAGTGTAAACAGAGTCCCAGAGAGATGTAGCAGCGCATACAGTGCCATTGAAATTGGCACATGCCATAAATTCACTGGGCAGCCATTGACAAGATATCCTTTAGGATCACTCACTCCCTTGAATTCCCTCGTCTGAAGGATTCCACACATCTCCTTTGAACACCATTTGCAGAGTGTCTGCTGCTTGTCAGGCCCTGGGGTAGGTCCTGGAATACCAGCAGTTCCCTGCTCCACCATAGTCCTCAGTACACCTGCACTCCTTCCTAAGGATGGGCCTGTGCTTCTTAGATGGAACCACTGAATCTTAGGAACACCAATTCTTGCCAAAAATCCCTCTGACTGCTATATGTAACTACATCTTTTATTATTTTAGCATAGCAAGTGTTCATGACATTCTAAATATCAGAATAGAGGCCAACACTTAAAAATTCCATCATATTTTTCCTTAAGTTGGTGAGAGTGTCAGTACACTACTCAAATTGTTGGTGAGTTTATTTTTTCCTGAAGGAATCAGCAATTACATCAGTGGGTGTATTTCCCATTTCACCTACAGAGAAACTGAGGCTAAGGCAGCAGAGTTAGCTACATGATAGAGCAACTGGCAGAACTAAGAGCCAAACTGATCATGCTTCTTGTCATTACTACTTCCTCTGTGAACACAGTTTCCTCATTTTGCTTGCTCATTTCTACCAGAGGAAGTGCAGGGTCCTAAGGTGTTTTCAATGGGCTCTGGCACTGATACTCAATCTGATTTTCTTGCCGACATGACCGAATGACTCACAAGTGGAGGACTTGAGCTCGCATTCTGTCAAAGGCCCTCAAAATTTTCTCCTATCACTGCACAGTAATGATTGTATGACCTACTTAACCCTTTTAGTGTATGAGACTTGTAATGAATGATAGAATATCCTCTGAGAAGAAAACCACTCCACTCATGCTAGTGAGGGCTTTCCCTGCAGTACCAGCTTTCTTTTGAAAGATTATTTACTCCTAGTGTTGGGGAGAATGCACAGCACAGGGAAATTTAGACCATTTATTTCTCCTCCATACACAGATTGTACATTACCAGTACCTTATTATATATGCAGGAAGATAAAGGACTGATGACTTGGAATGTGGAGTGCCAGGGAAATGTTAGCTTAAGCTCAAGATGTGAAGCTAATTAAGATTTGGTCTAAGTTCATCTAATTAGCTTCCCCTTCCAAAAAGATACTAGCCTCACTGCTTCCCCATCCCCAACATACACACAGGCAAATCTCAAAAACAAGGCCAATGTGATTAACACCCTTTTATCATTTAAAGCCCTGCCCCTACCCTCCTTCTACAAACTCCTCAATTCTGTGCTGACAGCTTCTAGTGATTTCTTGAGTGAAACATAGTATCATAGGATTACATTGCTTTTGGAAAGATCTTTCTTTTTATTAATAAATAAGTTTATATTTTAGAACAGCTTTTGATTTAAAGAAAATTTAGCAGACAATACAGAGTTATCATGTACTCCTCTTTCTCTTAGTTAACATTGTAAATTTATATGGTGCATTTGTTACAATTGATGAATGCATTTTCATACATTATTCGTAACTACAGTCCATAATTTGCAGTGATTCACTGTTTCATAATTTTGACACATGCATAATGTCATGTAATTTCCAGTGCAGCATCATACAGAATAGTTCCACTGCCATAAAAATCCTCTGTGTTCTGCCCATTCACCTCTTTCTCCTCCCAACCCCGGGGAACCATTGATCTTTTCATTATCTCCACAGATTTGCTTTTTCCAAATGTCATATAGCTGGATTCGTATAGTATGTATCTTTTATAGTCTTCTTTCATTTGTCACTATACTTTGAAGAATTCTTCATTTGTTTTCAAGGAATGAAAGTTCAGTTATTTTCATTGGTGTATAGTATCCCACTGTGTGAACATACCACAGTTTATTTATCCATTTCCTTACTGAAAGATGTTGATTAATTCTAAGTTTTTGGTGATTAGGCTATAAACATTCTCATGCAGGTCTTTGTGTAAACCTAAGTTTCCAAATCTTCTAGGGAAAATTCCAAGAACCACAATTGCCAGACCATATGTTAAGACTATGTTTAGTTTTATATGAAACTGTCAAATTGTTTTCCAAAGTGGTTGTGCTTTTTGTATTCCCTCAGCAAAGAATAACAGTTCTTGTATTTCACCAGAATTTGTTACTGTTAGTATCTTGAATTGTAGCTATTCTAATAAGTGTGAAGTACTTATTTTTGTTTTAATTACATTTTTAAAGAATGTATTATTTATTCTTTTTCTAGTTTTCCTAATAAAATTTATTTTCAAACTCTGTAGTTGGAATATATTTTACCTATTATCAATTCTCTATACTTAAGTATAATTAATGAGAGAGCATGTTTCTGTGTGTGAGGCACAGAAAGAAAAAGGGAACTGAATTAAAAAATGGCATAAATATTATGAGAATGAAAAACAATTACATTTAATAGGAATAGCTAAAATAAAAAATAATGACCAGTATTCATTACTTTTATCATATTTGACATTTAAAATTTTATAAGAAATACATGTATTAACTCAAATTTCACAGATGAAGAAATTGGGCCTCAGTCATTTTACAAGATGGACAGAAGTTCTCTAAAAGTGGAGTTGAAATGGATGTCAAGTTCTCAGGCTCAGCCCTCTCCTTCTCTTCTCTTTTATTTATTATGTTTCTTGTGGGTCATGATCTTCTGAGTTGGAAACGCCCTCTGCTATCACCCTGTATGTGGTCCATTTCAAGCCTGTCTGACAAAGAGAACCTCAAAAAGGCTGAACCTGGTTTGCAACCGATAACTAGGTAGGAACTGACCCAGGTCAACTTTCCTGAACTACTAGTCAGTTCAACTCACAGTGTTCCAAGGTGAATTGTTTCAATGGTTAAAGATTTTTGTCTACCACCCAGCAGATTTTTCAGGGAATAGGAGGCATGGCTGTGTTTACCTCACCCACCATTGCCAGTGTCAGTCAGCAGTAAAACATCACTGAACTCAGCTAGCATTTTGTTAAACTGGTGAGAGCACAAAGCCTCACATAACACCACACAGAGGTGGTCTAAGGGGCTTGGAATATGGTACAGGTTTTTCCAACTAGGTCTATGATTTAGGTTACACACTTACATTCTCCACTGATCAGCTTCCTAAAAAGAAATACTAAATCATTTCCAAAGAATTTTCCAGTTCCCACTCTCAAATGAAAAGCTAATTATTTCCTTTCCATTTTGTAATGTTATCCTGTTCAAAACTCAGTGCTCCAGAGATGGAAAAAACGTTCTGTCCACTATTTCTTTGGAAGAAAAAGATTAATAGAAATATCCATACCACTGCTAACATCTAGAGAAGGATTCCAGAAATCTAATAATCTTAATGAATTGGAGGAGAAGCTGAAAAGTGATTTCTGAATTTATGAGTTAATAGTGCACTTTTTTCTCACCTACTTCTCATTGTATCTTCTGATGTAAAGATTAGTTACCACATAAAAAATGTAACATCGTAGAGTCCTTGCACTGTGGAGGATTAGTATTTGCATTTCTTAAAATAAACACGTGATTCATTGTTTCCAGTTCCAAATTTAGATAAAGGAGCAATGTTTTCAGTTACTACTTAAAGAAAGGGTCTCCAGATTTTCTAAATCCTGGTGTAAGTCTGTGTAAATACTCCCTTTGAAGTTTTATGACACTTTAGTCTCTTTCAAATTCTTTCAAATGCCAACACACGTAACCCTTCCATAAACTCCATCAATGGATCATTTAAACAACATAATGAAAATGACCAGGTCATATGAGGCCACTGAAGGTGGGCAGAGCATATAATATTAACCAGACATTTTGGGGCATTTATATACACGAATTACTATCAGAGAAGTGGTATGAGAGAAGAATTGGAATGGGTACACACAAAGAAGGACTAAACAGCAGTGGTGTTTACAGCACTATCCTTGTGTGAATGTTACAGTGGCTTCACATTTTTGATGAAAATGCTGCTGATACACCTTTTCAGATAGCTGGCATTGGCAGTTGCTGCAAGTATTACCCATGTTAATATATATATATATATATATAACAGCACCCATACTCTCCTGAGTAGAGATGGAGGATTTAAACTGTCAGAATTCTTCCGTTGTCACACCACGGAGTCCTCGCCATCTCGCCAAAACCCTCTTCAAGGCCCCTGTTACATCTGTGTTTCTCAGGCTGTAGATGAGAGGGTTTAACAAGGGGGTGAGGATGGTGTAAAAGGCAGAGAAGACCTTGTCTTTGGTTGGAGTGTGGTAGGATTCGGGAAGCATATACGTGTAAAGGGCAGCCCCGTAAAACAAGGTCACCACCATTATGTGTGATGAGCATGTGGCAAAGGCCTTCTTCTTGCCTTCTGCTGACTTCATCTGGTGCACTGTGATGAGAATCTGGGCATACGAATTAATCACCACGGAGAAAGGGATTAGCAGCATTATGACACAGCAAATGTACATCACCATTTCATAGGTGGCCTTGTCACCACAGGCCAGCCTGAGCATGGTGGGTGCCTCACAGAAGAAGTGGTCGATCTTGTGGGAAGCACAGAATGGGAGACTCATGGTGATAGGGGTGAGGAGGAAGCTGTCCAAAGCGCCGCCGAACCAAGAGCTGGCCAAGGTCATCCAACAGATGCAGTGATTCATGAGGACAGGATAGCGGAGGGGGTTGCAGATGGCCACATAATGGTCATAGGCCATGAGTCCCAGCAGGAAGAATTCAGCCCCCACAAAGCCCATGTAGAGAAAGTACTGGGCTGTACAGGAGATAAAGGAGATGGTCCTCTTGCCCACGAGATAATCAACCAGCATCTTGGGCACAATGGTGGAAATGTACATCATGTCAATGAAGGAGAGGTGGCTGAGCAGGAAGTACATAGGAGTGTGGAGGTGAGGGTCTATGTGGATCAGAAAGATCATGGACCCATTAGTTATCATGGTCATAAAGAAGATGGCACAAATGATGCTGAAAAGGAAGCCTGAGGCTTTACTGTGAGTAAAGAGTCCTGTGAGGGTGAAGTCACTTAGAAACGTCTTATTGTCTCCATCCATGGTGTTGTTATAACTGAAGGCAGAAGAAGAGAAGTGTGGAGTTAATGAAAATTGCAGTAGATAGAGTGAATTATTTAAAAATGTCTTGACATTATTTATATGACTAATATCAAGCATTTTTATGTCTGGTGGTAGATTTGCAGCTTCTTCTTTCTTTACTGTTGAAGAGCAATTCCAAAGTTAGTTCTCCATGACATGAGGATGAATGGACATTTGGAAACGGATGCTTGGTTTAAGAGAGCTTAATTATTACTGCAGAACATCTGGGTCCAAGAAAGAGGATTGTTCACTTAGAGTTAACTCCATTTTTAAAAAATGTGCATAAAACTGAAAAACAATTGATCCAATCATTTCAAATAACGAAACATTTCAGCAAGATGTTTTGTTGAATTAGGAAGTTTTGTGACAACTTTGAAACTATTCAGCCTTTTCTAGGAATAATAATTAAGTTGTAGATACAGTTGAAAACTATAATGAACTGTAGTGAATTGGGTCACAGCATCATTTATCTGATCATTGATCATCCTTATTTGTTCCTTCACTCATTTGTTGATTTCTCAGTCATAGTAATTCATACAGCAACTTTTATTTATAGGATGCTATCCGTACAGTGTTCTGAGCTCTAGGGATACTGTTGTAAACAAAAGAACAGAAATCTCTTGTGACTTACAGTTCCAGTTGTGGGAGAAAGAAAACAAATAAGTAACGGGTGATGATGGTTCAGGATAATACTAGTAAATGCTATGAGGAAAAGATTAACATGAATAACGAAGGATGACAAAGAGCAGCCATGTGAAGATTTGGGAGAAGGGTGTTCCTCCAGAATGAATAGCAAATTTAATATTCCTAAAGCAGAAATGAGCTTGTTATGTTCAGGATGGTTCAGGCAGAGCATTGTGAATAAGGGGTATAGTGAGGTGTCAGAGATCAGATTTCAAGGCATGAAGACCAAGGTAACAATGTCAAAATTATTTTCTAAATATTATCATTAGAATTGAAGTATGGTTGAAAACTTGTAACAGTTTGGTTAACATTTAAACATATGTTCATTCTGATTTTTTAGTTTCCATTTTGTTCATTTCAGCCAATGGTCCTTTTCCCTTGGTTCTGCATTGTTATATGCTTTGAAGGCTTTACAAGAAGGAGCTTCCATCCAGGTTAGTCTGGGAAGTCCAGGTTGCATCTTCTGTCCAGGATCCCATCTGGCTTAGCATGTCTTCCTCCTCCTTTCACTCTCAGTAGCGTACTTTTTTGGTTCATCATAACCTGAGACATGGTACCTGAATAAAGTATCTGAGGGACATGCAGGTTAGAGGGTAACAGGAAGTCCTGTAAGATCTTAGGCCACGTAGGGGTGTCCACACTGTGGGTGATGCATTTGCATCTGGAACAGACATGAAAACAAGAGAATATTTTTCAAAAATTCTTCAATAGTTTCACTATTCTTCAAAGGCCAAATATATATTTTGAATTATTAGACATAATATCAACTATTGCACATTGCATACACTGAAAGAAGCAGGTGATGTGGCCATAAGTGCATGGAAGTGGCAGCCATTTTTCCAGTTTAGGAGCTGCATTTTTGAGTGGGGGTGGGTCTCTATGATGGCAGTTGTCTTACATATAATTAAGGGTGTCACCACAGTGAATTGGAGATCTGATTTAGGAAAGTGGAAAATATGCAGATTAAGGGAAAATGCAAGCTAATTAGAAATCTAATCTCTTTCATTCTAAGTTTATTCTGATCTTTCAATGAAAGTCAGAACATAACTCAATGGTGTTGCTTGCCATTTTTGGAAAGGCTGAATGCGTTGGGTAGTGAGGAAAGGGGGTTGTGGTTTATTTGCCCCTTTTCATCCTCTTCTGGAAAGGGGTACGACCTGGTCTAATGAGTCCCTAATGATGATCTGTGGAATCAGAAGGCACCCACAGCAAAGCCAAGGAAAGCCCATGACGCTCGTGGACTCTTCAGGAGAGGATGAACAGACTGCTAGATCAGTGCACTGCTGCACGGAAGGGAAAGAGGGGCTTACTCGTGACAATTAAAAACGTTGTACCAGGATGGAAAGCCACAGGAGAGGCAGGAAAAAACAGTGCTGATGATGTGAAATTGTATCAGAAGTGTGGAGAATAAAACTTGAGTAGCTCTCTAGGAATGTAGAAGGACAGAGGTTATATGATAAGGAAGAAAGTGATAGATATGTGATAATAACATAACAAAAGCAAGCTATCAATAATTGGTGGCTTTTAAGATAGTGATTCCAATGTAAGACAATTATTAATAACAAATTGAAGAGAAGAAAACTTTTATGAAAATAACAAAATGTCTTAATACATGGAAGTTTCATTTAACAAATTGATACATACACTTACGTATGTCCTGGAAAATTTTTGAGGTAAAATCAATATGAAGAAAAAGGGAGGAAGGAAAAAGAGAGAAGAAAGAAGGAAGGAAGGAAAGAGAATGAGGGAGTAAAGAGGAGAAAAACAGCTAGAAGTATGCAGACAGAACAAAAAAAAGAAAAAAAGTCCAACCTACAACAGAATAAAACTTAGACTGGTCACAAACATCTTTTTGATATGGATAAAATCCAAATAAAAGCAAAGAAGTGTCTAAACAGAAGACATATAATGTTTGAGTTAAAAGTAAGGGCTGCAGAGCAAGAATTTTCTCGTGTACATATGTTTTCTACAACACTGAAAATATGGAAGAAAAAGTACTTAATATAACAGTGCAGGAGGTAAAAAAGAAAAAAGCATATAATGAGTTTAGATAGAAAATAACTATGTTAATTTAGTAACAACATTAATTTAGTAACAACATTATCCCTTTTAAAGTGTAGGTTCACCGTTTAAGAAAGCAAATCAGAAAAGGTACATAACAGAAAAGATAGACTTAAAAGATTCAAAAACAAGTGAGTGAATTCAGTATATACAGAACACAATTTAAGTCAAACATATTCTGTAATATTGCCTTAAATCTAATTTAAATCTAATTTAAGACAATAGTATAAATAAAGCAAGGAAATAATTCTATCAGTCAAATTTTAGATGGAAGTGGTTTCTGTTCCTAACACATTCAGTTATCTTCCAAAGACTAATCTTTTGTTTAAATATAATGTATTAGAACTCTAAAATGACAATAACAGTTTTACATCTATTTCAGAGAATTTGAAATACTTAAGCATATGCCTAAAACACAACACAGGCCAAAAGGAAGCTCAAAATTGTACTTCAATCAAATATACCAAATATGGAAACTTAGGGTACATAGCCAAAGAGATACTATGACAAAGTTTTATAGCACTCAAAAATATAATTTTTATTAAAAATTATCCGGTGTAAATAAATATTTAATCCATTAAGTTAGAAAAATATCAACAGAATAAATTTGAATAAGAGGAATAGAATGTAAAAGATATAAACAGATATTCGTGGGTTCTGAAATAAGTAAACTGGATATATAAAGAAGTGATTCTTTGATATTGAAACAAAATAGACCAACTTCTGGCTATGAGTATGACACGTGGTGGAAAAAAAGACACAAAACATCATTAAGAATAAAAACAACCATTAACTACAGATATGAGAAGAGTAGCAAAATATTTACAGTATAATATTAATTTAACATTATATTAGTATAGTTGGAAATTTCCATGAAGAGGATTATTTCAAAATATATATTATATATGTATCTATATATACAATATGCATATATAACTATAAATACAGTGTATACATATGTATGTATATATGTACCTACATATAGACAAATTACTAAGAAAAAAATACTTAAGACTCCCAAAATCTGGAGAAATCTAAAGATTCTAATACAGCTGTGTCTCTTCAAAATTCCTAGTTCAGAAAGCATTCTGTGAATATCTTCTAAGAGCAAATAATTTCAAAATTCTTGTAGTGTGTAGATCAATCCTCATTTATTTTATAAACCTGTATAGCTCCCAAAACACCTCTCATTAGTATAAACCAATCTCATTTATAAATATAGATTATAATTGCCTAAATTCATATTAGTTGTTAAACCTAGCAGTAGTTAAGGATGACATATCTGCAGACCTGTTCATGTAAACCCACTCCCTCTCCTTCTTAGCACTCTCCAAGGCTCTGCACTGGCTGAGAACTAAAGACAAAAGTGCTGTGTGTGATTTGTGTGGCCCTTAATGGCTTGGCTATTTGGCCATCTGCTCTCCAGTGTTCTCAATTCTTGGTACTTGGCTTCCAGAATATAGACTAACGCAGGAGCTCCCCCTGCCTGGAGCACAATTACCCCCTCTTCATCTGCTTTCTGTGGCCCCAGGTCTCAGCTTGCATATACTTCTCTCAGAGAGAGACCCCTTTGGTGTTAATAGTGTAAAATTCCCTCATTACACGTTAGCATATTTGCTCATATCAACAAAATATTTCTAAATAATAGCAAAAAAATAATGAGGTAACTCATAATGTACTAAACTTGAAGAAAAATGTAAAACTAATAAAATGCAATTCTGATTAAAATCCCAATAGAGATTTTTCTGGAGAAACTTGGCAAAGTGATTCTAAATTTGATCTGAAAGAATGAGCATGTGCTAATTGTCCAGAGGAGAAAAATTTTAAAAATTAACAGTGGACATTGAACTTTCCATGGGACCAGTGTAAAATACAGAGGCTGAATAACTGGACAGAGGAGAGTGTTTAGAAATGAACAACCCCCCAAAAGAAACACCCACAAAAATCGTAGCATGCAAGTACATGTTTTACATGAAAGTTCAAGGAAATGGAAGGTTGGACTTCACAATGTCTATATGGAGATGAAGGAAAACAATATGGCAGCCCAAAATATGCATCTTTGCCATAAAAGTTATTTTGAGCTGAAGGCAATTAAGAAGCAGGAGACTCAGGAAAGTTTCCCTTTTCTGCCTAAAGGAGGATCCAACTTCTCCTTTTACTGGAGACGGACTCTAATAAGCCCAGAGACAGCACTAGAGGAACCTGGAAAGTAACGTGACTGCACCACTCCCCTCCCATGTATTTACCTTCCCACAGTTTGCCACTCATGGAAGATTAAAACTGCATCCTTTTGTCCTGCCATTTCTTTGTAAATGCATGTTTTTGTTTTTGGTGAAGATGTTATATAAGTCACAGTTCTAAGCCACTGCTTTGAGTTACTTTTTTGTTGAGCTTTCTCCTGCATGTTGTATGCTGCATGCACTGCATGCGTTAATAAACTGATTTCCTTGTGCTAACCTGACTTTTTGTTAAAGAGTTGCAGCTGAAAGCTAACATTCTTAGAGGTAAATTTTTGCCTCCCCTATGGAGACAAATTTGCAATTTAGACGTAAATAAAAAGACTTTTCTTTCACATTCACAATCTTTACAGCAGGTGGCTCAAAAACTTAAAGAAATAAATGCATTTATAAAATAAATACATATATAGTGTTTGAATATTTTTAACAAAGAAATGTCATATTGTATTCAGAAAAGATATGTTTAAAGGATGACAGTAATATTTAGGATTTTCAATGTGAGGAACTGGGCTCATGCATTCTCCAGAGCTGCTAGCGTGAGTGCAACTTAAAACAAATTTTCTGGAAGTGTTTGGCAATATTGATCAAATGTCTTTAAGAAACATCTACACTTTCTCCACTTTTATGGATTTAAGAAATTACGTATTATAAAGATGTGAGTAAATGTCAAGTGAAGATGTTAAATGGATCACTGCTTTTGATAGTAAGAATAAACTGGGAAAAATCTAAATGATCAACATTACTAGGTTGATGAAATTAAACATTATGCAGCTGACCTTGACCCCATTGATAATACTGATGTAAGTTAGGTATCTTGTTATGTAAATATGTGAATAATATATTTGAAGTAAAAAATATATTACAATCGTTTTAAAGAAATGTATGTGCAGAAAAATTATAATCTCTTCTAGTTGACTTAGCAGGTTTTGCATTGAGATGGAGAAGAATGAAACCAAGAGCAGAAATCAGGCTTATGGTACAGCAACTAAGAGGATGTGCTGAAGTGAATGGAGATTGAAGAATTTGGCAGACAGTGCACCAGAACATTCTAGAACCAGGTTTACTTTATTTACCACATACCATGAACTTTGTAATTTATGACTTTCCAAATAACATAAACTAGACTCTGA